ATGGATACAGTGCTCTGCAGGGTTCTTCACTGTGGCTGAAGTTACTCATCCCATGAACCAGCACAGTTGGGCTCAGCCTCACCAGTTTGTTACCTGGTTTAACAGGTTTCAACCCATCCCTCAAAGTGACTCGTCCATAGCAGGTAAAGCCACGGGTCCCTCCACTGCCTCTGCGTGCAGCTGTACACTGGCACAAGGAAAGGCGGATGGACATCTCATCTCAGCAGCTGCACGCATCTGGGTCTGCCAGAGCCCTCTGCACACTTCAGCTTTTGTGTAACAACAGAATGCAGCCAGCCCTGCATGGTGCTGGTGGGGAAACGGAAAGGATTTGGCCTCGTGAAGTGAAAGCAGCTTGAAAAGCAGAATTGGGGCGTGCACTGTTTTACTTGCACGTGAGTAAATACGTGATTTTCCTCTCTCTTCTGAAGTAGAAAGCTGGAATTTACTGGAACTTAAATCTAAAGAAGTTGTCCAAAATTTAGACCTCTAATGTGTCCCAATGCATATTTAGGTCATAATAGTAAAATGAAGGTTGTAAATTTTGTTTGTTTCCATGGTACTAAACATTCTATGGTAATTCCCTGTCTGAACAAGCAAGCAGTTCTCATTCCAATAAGCTCAATCTTAAGGGTCTGGGATTTTAGCTGTATCAGAATTTCTCAATCTAATGCCTTTGCATTGCATCAAGCTAAACTTCACTTCCCCGGGGGGAAGAGAAGGCACAAAGCCCTCCCATCCCTCAGTACCCCTTGCAAACCATTTCTGTGACCCCCCAGGGCTTCCTTCCCCCACCCAGCCCAGCTTCTGTTGCTCCCCAGGTCTGCAGCCATGGGGGCTGCCTGGGCACCGTCGAGTCATCTCCGAAGCCCATCGTCCTGGAGCAGCAGAATCATAGAACTGTTAAGGCTGGAAAAGACCTCTAAGATGTCCAAGTCCAACCCCAACCTGCCCCCACCATGCCCATAACCACATCCCTCAGTGCCACATCTCCACATTTCTTGAACACCTACAGGGACAGTGACTCCACCACCTCCCTGGGCAGCCTCTGCCAGTGCATCTCAACTCCTTCAGAGAAGAAATTGTTCCTAATATCCTATTTTTTCCTAATGGGGATCTCAGAAAGTTGTACAGGTTTGCATGAGGCTGTCTTCTGGTAGTGTGGCCTGCGCCTTTCCAGGGTTGGAAACATATAAACAGAACTTGAAAAACCACCGATGAACTGATTTAAAATCTTCCACTGAACAGGAGAAAACCCTGAAGAGATTGGTCCTAAACAAGCAAGAGCTGCAGCAACAGACACAGCGAATGAATGGTGGCGTGTTTGAGCCCACATATGTACGACATGTAACTTAGAAATGTGTATATAACATATATAAATAGTGTGTCCATTGCAGAGGGATTGGGATTGAGTACTATGTTCAGTTGACTACTGAGGGGTTCACTCAGTACAAGAAGGACATCGAGGTCCTGGAATGTATTCAGGGAAGGGCAACGGGGCTGTGAGGGGTCTGGAGCACAAGTCTGATGGGGAGCGGCTGAGGGAGCTGGGATGGTTCAGTGTGGAGGAGGCTCAGGGGAAACCTCATTGCTCTCTACTGAAAGGAGGTTGTAGCAAGGCAGGAGTCGGCCTCTGCTCCCTGTTAATAGCGATAAAACAAGGTAATGGCCTTAAGCTGCTCCTGGGGAGGTTCAGGTTGGATATTAGGAAAATTTCCTCCTCTGAAAAAGTGGTCAGGTGCTGGTACAGGCTGCACAGGAAGGTGGTGGAGGTGTAAAGAAACATTTAGACGTACTGAAGGATGTGGTGTGGTGGGTGACACTGGTGATGGATGGTTGGACCGGATGATCTTGGAGATCTTTTCTATCCTTGGTGATTCTATGATTCTGTGTGATGCTGTGTGAATTGGATGATCTTTATGCCGTTTTTATATGATTTTATATCCACGCACATATATATATATATATAACTAGTGTATATACATACATGTGTGTAGACAATGCAGTATTGTGTGTATATATATGTATATATACACATACATATTGTATATACATATGTATGACGATATGTTTGCATATATGTGTGTATATATACATATGTGTTGTATATATATGTTGGTGCATATATATGTGTATACAGATACACAAACAATACTGTGCACATATAAAACTAGTTCTTTATATGTGTACATTAAACCAACCATAATAATGCCAGGGGAGAAGCCAGCAGCGATTTCCCACGGGCAGGAGAAGAACCGGGGTCCTGCACACCCCCGAGCCTTGAAAGCTCGGGACTCGCACACCCGCGGGGATCCGCACGTGGCCGCGAACCGCCTGCCCCGGGGGCCGGGCCGTGCGATGCGCGGCTCCCATTGAGGCTGAACATGGGCCGGCCCCCGGAGCTGCGGGGCCAATGGGGGCTGCGGACGCGGTCGAGCCTCTCCCCGGCCCCCCCGCGGCCGCCGGCGCCGTGCCGGAGGGTTTATAGTACTACGCCGCGGGGCCGCGCCGCACCGCGCGCCGCCTCCCGGGGGAGCTGCGCCCGCTCCGCTCCGCGTCCCGCCGCGCTGTTGGGACCGGAGGGGGGGGTCTTCTGTCTTCTTCGGTCCTCGGTTTAGTTGTGCGGGTTTTTTTGGTTTTTATTTTTTATTTTTTTTTTTCCCACCCGTTTGGCGGTTAGGTGGTTGATTTTTTTTTTTTTTTTTATTTTTTATTTTATTTTATTTTATTTTTTGGCCGTTTTTCGATTCTCCGGGTTTAAAATCTATTTATTTATTTATTTGTTTGTTCGTTAATCGTTGTGGTATCGCGTTTGGCGTTTTCAACGCTGTTTTTGAATTCTCGGCGTTTTCTCCCGTCTCTCCTCTTTCCCCCCCGCCCCCCCATCTCCCCCCCATCCCCCCTCCCCGCAATCCCCGAAGGCCGGCTGGCGGAGAAGTTCAGGTAAGGGCGTGCGAGGGGTGCGCGGTCCGGCAGAGGAACCCCCGGTACCGCCGTGGGGCGGGGGGGGGGGGGGGGCTGCGAGGGGCTGCCTGTCCGGGAAGGTCACATTTTCCAGCGGTGGGAAAAAACAGCTTGAGGAGGGGGAGAGAGGAAAAATAATATATTAAAAATAGGGAAAACTAATAAATAAACAACTGAACAACCCCTCTCCTCTTCCCCCGCTCTTCCCACCCCCCCCCCCCCCCCCAAAAAAAAAAAAGAAAAAAAAGAAAGAAAAAAACACCCAGACACAAGCATAACCAATAACCCACTAAAAAAACAATGAACCACATGCTTTGCAGTGGTGGAGATGTGGCTGTGCTGGTGTTGGAGTGTGAGTTGTGCCCCCCTGGCCCCCCATGTTAGCATGTGTTGTTTTGGGGACTTGGTGTGTGTGGGGGGGGCACTGCCAGCTGCCTTGTGTGGAAGCCAAAGTTTGGATGTGAAAGGGGTGGTCAAAAGAAAATAGGGACTTGGGGAGGGTTTTGAGGTTTCCCAAAAGCAGTGGGGTTGGAAAAAGGCAGGGAGGCCCCTAAATAGTGCTGTTGTGCCCTAGTGTCCGATGAGCTGTGCAGCCACCTTGCAGCAGGGCTGGCAGCAGATGGGCTCTCTGGCTCTTGGCTTCTCATTTTGATTATTATTTTATTCACTTCCATATATATATATATATATATATATATAAAATTTTTATTATTTTTTTTTTCCTTTGACTTCCATTTTAATATCTTAGAAATTCACTGCTCACTTTGTGGCAGGAGGCAGCCTGCACTGATTTATAACCTATGGAGTAAGGGTAAATCCTGCAGGGATCAGTCCTAAACTTGAAAGAGCTGCAGCAGCACACATAGCAGATGAGTGTCAGTGTATCTGAGCCCACGTAGCGCTGTGTTATCGGCAGTGCTGGGCTGACAGTCCAGAAGTGACAAACTGGGAAACAGTCCCCAGCTCTCAGCAAATTCCCAGGGCTTAACATTTGGTGTCATTGTGAGACAGAATGTACCCTCTCACTCCCTTTATTATTATTTTGCTCTTTAAGCCGGTGGTTAGATGGACACATCTCAGCAGAACAGCATGTTTTTGGCACGGGGGCCATCCTATCACTTTGGACCTCTCCGAAGACGGCTGTGGTGCTGCATAGTTGAGCAGCTGCTGCCCCGTGCTGAGCTGCCTGTGCTCACATTGCTGTCAGGGATGGAGGTGCTTTATGTAAACACCATCATTCGTTCTCATCGCTCGCGTAGCCCTGGCGTTTTGTTTTTGTTTTTGAAGCTCCTGATTTTGGCTGAGCCTTCGGACGAAGCAGGGATGAAAGCCTTCGGTTGTTGGCTTGGCCTTTAGGATAAAATATAGCTTGGGCTCGATCCTGCATTCCAGGCATTCCCCAAAATCCGCTTGGCTGCTGCATGAGCTTTGGGAGAGTGGAACGCAGCCCCGGTGTGTGCTGTGCATGATGTGTTCATCCTGACAGTCCCTGTCCTCATGAGACGCAGGTGGCACTGCGCACACAGACTGTCCCCTGCCAGCTCTGCTGCTCATTGCTCCTGTTGGCATTCCTTCTTTTCAGCCCTCATTCACACCAGGGTTTAGTTCTATTCCCCGTGTTTAGGGCTGTGCTGATACGTGGCTTCCTGCCTCTTGCAGGCATTTAAAGAAAACCTGAGCTTTTTCCTTTTGCAAAAGGAAACCTTGCCAGCTGCTCAGAGCGCGCCAGCGTTTCTTAGAAAAAACACGGTGTGCTCTCAGCACCGCTCTGCTGCAGTCCGGGCGGAGAGTTCCTCCAGCAGTGTTCAGTTTGTTGTTGGTTCTTTGAGCCATGTGTCAAATTTCAGCTCTTCTGGCTCTTCACTTTTACTATAGGATATGGTTATAGGCTGAGCCGCTAACCTCTGTGTGAACTTCCTCGCGCTCAGCACATGTGAGCGTTCGGAGCTGCACAAACCAGGGGAACATGCGGGCTCGCTTCTAAGCTCTTTCAGCCTCCCTGTGTGGATGGAGGAGGAAGCTGTGTCTTTAAGAAATGAGGCTTTTTTTCCCCCCTATTTCCTGCAGAATATGAATAGATGCTGTCAGTGGGATGGAGGTCTCTGAGGGTGCTGTGTGCCACGTTTGCTGCCGAGCACACATACGGCTTTTCATTTTTCCCCAGAGGAGGCAAGGATGGGCAAATCTTGGAGCTGGGGCTTCAGTAGCAGCAGGAAGGCTCTTGTCCCTGCACAGAGCTATTGACTATTCATGGCAAAGCGTCCAAAATGCAGCGGCAGAGCCTGTGGAAAATGACAGCGTGTAACAAGCCTGAGTGGCATTTCCTTCACGCTGGTCACATGCCTCCTAATTCACACACGCACCCCTCATAGGCTGATCAAATGACTTCTATCTCTGCCCGCCGCATGCCTTCCCCAGAAAGAGTTGTTTTATTATGCACACGTAGGGCTCTGCTTTCAATCAGTCACCTTCAGCCGATGACTGAGGGCCACTGTGCGCTCCGTGCGGGGGGACGCGGTCACTGCGAGGGGCACAGGCTCCAGCCCGTAAGAAACTTCTTTCTTTTCCCTGGGAAGCAGGAAAGAAAAAAAGACAACAGACCCACAGATACCCCTTCTGCCTTCCCTGCTTCCCAATAACCTTTTGTTTAACTTGACTGGGAGACTGTGGGACGTGCCCATATGTCGGCACGCTGTGGTGCTGCCTGTGTGGGTGCCGTGGGGTTGGGGCTCAGTGCAGTCCCATAGGATCCCACTTCTGCAAGGGGAACTGGGACCACTCCAGCCCTCCCAGTTCAGCACCCAGCACAAGGGTTGGGTTACCAGGATCTCCGTACCCAAAGGGATGGGATGTGAAGGATGGGGTGCAGGCAGCCGGCAGCTGGCCACGGTAATTAACTCAGCGCTGTGCCAACCTTGTTAAGGGCAGTGCAGGTGATGATGACGTTGGCACACTGATTCATTACATCTGGAGGGGAAAATCCGCCTAGTGAATGCTGAAGCACAGTAAATATTTTTGGCTCCTGACAGATTGATCCCTGCATTACGCTGATTAGCCTGTATTTGTGGAAAGGAGGAAGTTAAAAATAAGGTTGATGGAAAGCTACAAGATGAGGGAAGGATTTGCATTTTATGGACCCCAGCAATAAAATTCTTTTTTTGTTTGTTTGTTTTTCTGTTTTTTTGGGGTGGTAAAAATTTCAATAATTTTTTTTTTTTTTCTTTTCTTCTCCCCTTCCCTTCTTTGGCTCTTGGCTTCACTGGTAGGTGAGAGCCCATAATTTATTTCCTTTTGGCAGTAATATTCTGGAAGGGAGCTGTAAATCTGAAGCACATGCAGTTGTGAAATGATTTCTGAAAGAATTCTTTTGTAAATACGTGGTGCAATCCTGCAGAACGGTTCAGCCCTGGCAGTCCTTTAGGGGTGGCACAGACGTAGCAAAGCGTGCAGCAGCATGTGCATGGTGAGGCTGCGTGCTTTGGACTTTCCTGCAAGCTGGAGGGCTTTGTGAGGTTTAGTTCATGGAGGTGAATAATTAAACTGACTTCTGACTGCTGGTGGTTTGTTTCCTTGCACCCAGGCTTTCACCTGAACCTTCGCTGCGTGGTATATGCTGCTGGGATACCTGTAAGAGCTCGCCCAGGAATGGTGGATCACCTGGTGCCTACTGATGAATCCTTTTCATCTACAAGGTCTTCTCTGGGATACTTTAGGGACATGACAGCAGGGGTGAGATCCTACCAAATGCTGCCCTCTCCTCTGTCAGAAGATGACAGCGACTCGTCCAGCTTTTGTTCTTGTTCCAGCCCGGAATCCCAGGTTCTCAGCTCCAGCTATGGAAGCACATCCAGTGCGGAGAGTCAGGACAGCATCTTAGACTACTTGCTGTCCCAGGCATCTTTGGGGAACACCGCTGTGTCATGGTGGGACAAAAGGAGACTTCAGCCCATAGTGAAAGAGGAGTATTTTAGGTTGCCTGAATTCGCTGTGGATATGGAAGACTCTGGACCATTTCAGCCCACACTTGAGGAAATTGAGGAATTTCTGGAAGAAAACATGGAGCTGGAGCTCAAAGAAAGACCTAAAAGTGAGACCAAGGACTTGAGAGCTTGCAGCCAAGTTTCTGTTGCTTCGCTACAGCAAAAAGACCATATGTTACCCAGTGCTACTTTAAAAGAGAGTAAAAATGAACAGTTGAACAGCTCGACGGAAGGTGGCCAGGCTTCAAATGGAGGAGTGTCCCTGGAGAATGGCATACCGGTTATGCTCCAAATTCAGCCTGTACAGATCAAACAGGAGTCCACCACGAGCCCTAGCTCCCAAGGACCAGCACAGGAGAACATTAAAATTGCACAGCTCCTAGTCAACATCCAAGGACAGACGTTTGCCCTTGTGCCCCAGATAGTTCAGTCGTCCAATTTGAACTTGCCCTCTAAATTTGTCCGCATTGCTCCCGTCCCCATCGCTGCCAAGCCAATTGGGCCAGGAGGCATGATCCAGGGTCAGACGGGAATCATCATGGGTCAGAAATTTCAAAAGAACCCTGCAGCAGAACTCATTAAAATGCACAAATGTTCTTTCCCTGGTTGTACCAAGATGTACACGAAAAGCAGCCATTTGAAAGCCCACCTGAGGAGGCATACGGGAGAAAAGCCTTTTGCTTGCACGTGGCCAGGTTGCGGATGGAGGTTAGTATCAGGGCACAGCAGTGTCTCATCCCCCTCTCTAACTTGCTGAACAAATAGGTTTGCACTCTCATTTATGAACAATTTCTGTTCCCAAAGCTGGCTCGGTTTGCTTGAGAATTAAGATCTTTTCTTCCTGTTGGGTAATCCAATGGACTTGATATATTAAATGGCAGAACATCACCTGCTGCCACCAGTTGGATGAGCGTCTTTTTTAAAAAAAGAAAAGAAAAAGCCTATTATAACTGTATTTTGTACTAAGATGGTCAGATTAAGCTTGTAACTGCAGGCAGTACCTTGCACTCATGATAGCCTGGTTGCAACACGGCAGCTGCGGATGCTCAGCTGGTACCAAATGAGCAGGGTGCTTTAGGGCAGAATCATGGTGTGAATCAGGGCTGCACAGGGCTAAACATGGTTGGTGAAGAGCTGTACTAAGTGAGTATGGTTAAGAAAAGCAGCATTCTGTGCAGTTTTGTAGAAAACATGCTCCATCCCACGCCTTCTGCAAGTGCTGGCAGTGGCACTCCAGGCTCTCTGGGTTTTATTCTCTGCACTGATTGAGAAAAACGCGTGGGTGCTGCTCAAAGTTGCAAAAAACTGTCAGATGTAACAGCATCCCCAGAAGGCTAAGATGGAATTGAATGGAAAATTGCAGGTTAGATTGAGCAAAGTGTTTTGTAGAGGCAATCTCTAATTTTTTTATTTTTTTTTAATGCTAGTTGAAAAAATTAAAGAAGAAAAGTTGAATTTCTTACCAGAGACTTTGATGGAGGCCTCTGTCTCTCCTTCCAATTAGCTGTGCTAATAGTCTGCCTGCTGGCAAGTGTTAATTAAAAGCACCACGACTGATGATGGGAGCAAAACATAGCCTTAACTCCCTTGTATTAACTTAAACCAGATTTCTTCCAAAGAATATCCTTCAGAGCTCCAGTGAGCAATGACTAGTGAAGAAATAGGTGGTGATCGTGGGCAACAGACAAGGTAAAAAGTAACAGGAGAAGCTGTGAGTAAAAACGCAATTTTGTGAGACAAGGCAGCAGTTAGAAATGGCAGAATTGGACGGAGGGAAAAGGTCAGAATGTGGCAGAATCCTCTGTTCCCAAACTGGCCCAAATTTGAAGTTTGCCTCCTAGATGATTCGATTAAATTCATTTCTTTGTTTATTATATACATATTTCAATTTGTGTGGCTCTGCAGATGAGTGGGGATTTTCTTTCCGTGCATGTGAGTGGTGTGGCACAGCGGAGGGCTCAGCGGCTGCTCAGGATGTGCCCACTGGTCCCACCAGGCACAGGCACTTTGCCCCTGGCCTGTCACGCATTTATTTTGTTGTGAGTGTGCGTACTGCAGACAGCAATACTCATCCTGCCCCTGGGTCTTGTGTTGGCTTTCCCTGTACAAAAATCCTGTTTCTGTGGCAAATGCATGTAGCACGTGAGGTTTGGATCTGGTCCATGCTGAGATTTACAGCAGTGCTTCCTGTGACTTCTGTGGCTCAGGATCAGGAGTGTGAAGTGTTGCCTCTGGGTGACCTGCCCTAGCTCTGTTTTTCTATAGAGAAGGCATTTTCCAGGCTGCAGAGCTGCGGGGAAGCATGCAGGGCAAGGACAGGTGGAGGCTGAGCATTGCAGCCGGGTGCTGCAGGGGTTAAAGGCATGGGATGTGTTGTTAGGGACCCTGAGGCCAGTGGCCGTACTTGCATACTTCCAGGTGAGCAGCCCAGAAGGGCTCCGTGCACCCTGCTCCCATGTCAGACCCTGCTGAGTGCTGAATTGCTCAGCCCCTTCCATCAGTACAGAATTGTTGCCTTTTCCAGAAGTGCAGTCAGTGTCCCACATGACTTACATCAAAGCATCCAAATCCTCTGTCCTCCCCCGGTTTTAGATCATCTTGAATGAATTTAAACACTAAAGCACTGCTGGGCTCTGCTTCCTCCCCCTTTCCCCACATTCTTGTGCTGGTGTATTTATTCTTCACTGAAGACACTTGAGATGTGAGCTCACTGAAGATGGTCATTTCAAAAACGCAACAAAGTGTTGCTACATGGGGGGGATTGAATCTCACCCTGCTCGCTGGGCGATGCTGCTGTGAGGAAGCTGCGTACACCAGGGTAGGGCTGTGTGCACTGCAGACCCTTCCTCAGCCTCTGAGACAGTGGGAAAGCCAACGAGGAGGCTGAATCTTGGCACTGGGTGTGCTTGGCCGAGTGGAGGAGGTGGTGAGGTGACCCACCGTGCTCCATACTCCTCTGTACTCATGTGCTGATCCGTGTCCTGTGCCTTTGGCAGCCTCTGGTTCTCTGCTCCTGAGGTGGCTCCATCAGCATGCCGGGATGGCCCAGCAGCTCTGCCATGTCAGGAGCTGGAGAGCTCTCGCTGTCCTTCCCCTGGGCAGCAGCATGAAAAGCTGTGGAATTAGGCAATACTGTTCAAATGTCCTGCACATCCTTCATCTGGAAGCATTTCCCACAACCCACTCTGCATGAGACATCCTGTTTGTGAGGATTTAGGGGCTGGGAGCAGCTCAGGATGCATCCAGGGCCTACTCTGCACCAGAGGGCAGAGGCACAACCAGTGGCAGCCCTGGGGCTGATGGCCATGGCTGGGACCATGGAGTTCCCACTGAATCTACTGACCTTGATGTCCTGTGCGCCATGGGTCCTTGCATGGCTGGAAGTCCCATGCATAGCAGAGCTCCAAGATTGGTCTCCAAGGGAGATGTGGTTACAGGTAACCACCAGAGAGAGGGATGAAGGAGACTTCCAGTTTCTGTGGGATTGCCCAGTTCCCTCTACCTTTCTTTCAAAGGAGGAATCCTGCAAAAAGCAGTAAGCTGGGCTAGTTGAGGTCTTCCTTGGTGGTGCCTTGTTTTCATTTGAATTTGGCTTTCCATCAGGGATTGTGTGCAGCATCTTTGGGGATGGTTTCAGTGCCAGAATGTGCTGCAAATATCGTGTCACTGTGGAGCCAGGCCACCAGATCTCCCGGCTTCCTTGTCCTAACCTTTGCGTTGTTTTTTCGTCAACGCACTGACAGCTTGACGTTTATTTCTGTGGGCTCCGTAAGTTGATCTTTCCATGACTGCTGAAGAACAGTATTGCGACATTCCTGCCTTTTCAGCTAAGGACATCGTTATGAAGCAGCAAGTATTTTTATCGGATGAACTCATCTGAGCTCCCTGGGTTGGAGCAGAGCCGCTTGTTCCCTCTGTGCACCTATTTCTCCCTCACTATCCATGCATTTCCCACTGAAATGTGCTTGTGAAGCTCTTGTCAGGATTAGCTGTGTGTGTTGCGGATGGTGACCTTAACAGCCAAGGACATGGGACAAGGCAGCACAGTCACATCTGGTTTCACTCCTCCTCAGGGTGATAAGTTGGTATATAAGAGGACAGCTCTATGCAAAGGAGATTTCCTCCCTCTGCCCCCTCTTTTCCTGGATGTGCTTGCCACCATGGGCAACTGGTCCCTTCCTTGCCTAGCCGAGTCCCACAGAAACAGCAAGAAATGAATTGGTGGCTCCATTAGAGCATCTGCCTGCTGCTCTTCTTGGCGCCTGTGACTCTTTGAGGACATCAAAGCAAGAGCAAGGCAAAGAAAGCAAGAGAATAGGTGAAGGATTTTCCCACAGAAAAACCCCTGGATGGATGCATCCTTTCTATGCCTCACTCAGGGGAATATCTTCATTCACAGGGCTCTCTCTGAGCAGCAGCGCTAGTCTGAAGTGCTGTGGGAATGGAAGGAACCTTTCCCAGTGCCCGCACCTCATTCTGCAGCTCATGGCAGGAGATCTCTGCTAATTAAAACCTTTATGTGGAAACTTATTTTCTTTGCATGAAGGACTTATTCATAGGAGCCCAGCAGTCATGTTTTTCCCCTTTCATAAAAACAGTGTACCCACCCTCTTGATGATGTGATATTTTGCTTCAGAAGGGCACATTTTTTCTACATGTTCTTTCCCCCATTTATTCCATTAGTGCCCATGACTTCATTTATTTATTGTAAATAGACAGCTGATACCATTTCTTGCAAGCTCGCTTTCTGTACTGCTCTTTGTTACTGTTCTGGCAACAAAACTCTTAATTGCCCTTTGTCAAGCAGCAAATTTTTTGTACCCATTTGGACAAGGCTGTTTTAGTGTGACATTGTTAATTAACCCTATGGTTCCCAGTCATGTCCAGACTGAACGAAGAGCCAGCTGCTGAGACCAAAGGATTGGCTGAGTTGAGTTCATTAATGCCTAATGTGGGATTCACAATGGCTGATTGGGGATGTTTCTGTTCAGATGAAAATTGGGAAACATCTAAAATTAAAATGACTCTGGGAGGTAAATTTGGGAATTAGAGTCTCCATCTTGACTTCAGTTTGCTCCTGAAGTATCGATGCTAACAGTCATTGGGGCCCACCTGGATTTCAACTGCAATAACACTGACCATCTCTGGTACTGACATACTAAGTCTTCTTTATTTAGCCAGCAGGAGCATGTACAAAGGCCAATTTTTGGCTGGATCTGATAAACTGCATAGCTTCTGTGTAACTGTGGCTATTATCTGGGGCCCATCTCAGCATGCATCTGCTGTGATGCTGGTGATGGAGTTTGGAGCAGAGCTCTCCTGAGAGATGCTGGTTCTTCCCACCGCCTGAGAAGGATCTGTGCTTGGATTTCCAAGAGAGAGACTGAGGGACTGTCTTTGAAGAGGACTCGCAGAGGGATAAGGAGCAGAGCTGTCTCAGTTGAGCTGTACCCATATTATTTACCCTTATTACTGGGCTTTGTGCAAGTGTTCTACAAACACATATTGCCTCCATGCGTTGCACCAAGTTCAGAGTTTATGTGGGTTAATTGCGTGTTTCCATCACTGCTGCTGGCCACTGGTTGGGACCAGAGTGGTTCTGTTGTGTGTCCTGTCCCTTTCAATTTGCTTATTTCGGCTTTTCCACAAGAAGAATCTCCCAGTGACCCGAGGGGATGTTTTGAGGCCATAAGAGAATTTCTTCACTTGTCTCAAAAGCCTTCTCCTCTCTTGCAGGTTCTCCAGGTCAGATGAGCTGTCTCGGCATCGGCGCTCTCACTCAGGGGTGAAACCCTACCAGTGTCCCGTCTGCGAGAAGAAATTTGCTCGAAGCGACCACTTGTCCAAACACGTCAAGGTGCATCGGTTCCCGCGAAGCAGCCGCTCCGTGCGCTCCGTGAACTGACTGCTCCCACCTCCCCTCCCGCAGCCGTCCCACAGCAGCCGATGACAGCACTTTGCTCACTACATTTCTAGTGATAATTTATTTGTCTTCACAGAACAGTCAATGCTGTTACTTGATACCACCGCGTCCGAGTATCCCGTGTCCTGTAAAGATGATTTGAGAATGAAGATATTTTGGGGTCAGGGGAGGGGGATGTTTCTTCCTTTATTTTTTTCTCCTTTTTTTTTTTTTTTTTTTTAAGGATGCTTTTTTTCCTTTCTCTCTATCTTTCCCTCCTTTGCTGCTGCTTCTTTTGGAAATTACAGTGTTTTATTTTTAGCTGTTTTCTGCTGCACAGGAAAATGTAAGAGTTGCTTGCTGCTAGTTAATTATAGCCCTGGCATTCCTGAGGGCTTTGCTCATGTACAGGCCATTCATTGTGAGTTTTTATTAAGCTGCTCTATTTGTCCAGTTTGGAAACAGCAAATTCCTTTTGAAATGAAAACAACTCCTTTGTTTTTGGGTCGCCCGAGCCAAGGATTTGTAGGGGCCGGCCATAGGAGGAGGAACAGTGGGAGTCAGGGAGAGGGGGAGGCGAGACATGCGAGTACTGGAACGTGCCTCTGCACCGCTCTCATTTCTCCAGCTTGCATTTACCTTTTCCTTGGTTAGGGCTATATATAAATATTTATGTATATACATACATACATACATATATATATATATATATATTTAAGCTATGATGTACCCCAAACAAACCCAAAGCTCAGGCTGGATGAAATGGTTTGGCGCAGAGGCCTTTTGGTGTGACTGCATCCCATGCTCATGTTTTTCCTGTCCTGTGCTACCATTGAGGGTGAAAGGATGCCCACAAATCGAAGGAAACTGCTTTCCTTCGCCTTGAAGCATCCACTGCCTTTAGCAGAAGAGCTGTTGTCTAATATGTAAGGCAGCAGGAGGCTGCTTGCAAACGACTGTGCTCTGCACCTGCCGAGCACTGAGAACTCACTGCCCACTCAGCCTGATGCCTCACTGGCTGGGGCTGAGGCTCCATTTCCCCAGTACCCGAACTGGGTGCCAACCAGGTGAGCAAACACAAGGAGATCTTCTGTCCCAGGGTGAGCTTCAGCGCTGAACTTCTCCTTACCAACAGCCATGTCAGAGCTCCACACAGCTGGGGTGGGTGAATGGGTGAGAACAGCCAAAAGAAATCAGTTTGTATGGTAGTTGGCTAAGAAGGGAATTTAAGCAAATGATCAGATTGTAGCAGGCAACTGATTGTGTTTCTTCTTGTTTCATTTTTCCTTTTGAACTCTGGCAATTGTAAGAAGCTATAGAAGAAAATAGAATTCAGTAATTAGGAGCAATTTTTTAATGGATGTTGCATTTCCTTTCCATTCGCAGACGGCATCTGTTTGTCTTTTTGTTGGCAAAATGGGAAATAGAAAGCTGCGATCCTAGCGCCAGGCAGAGCGGGAGCCCGCACTGCAGGAACAGCAGGTCTAGCAAAGGCGAATGCATTCCTTTTGTCCTCTAGAAATTAATATAAATGAACTATCATCTATTGACTGGTTTATATCACATCCTATGAATGTATGTAAATAAAACTGTACATAGATGCATATCTATATAAAATATCTTTTAATAACATATCAAAATTTGTGTAAATTGGAAACAAAAGTACCTATAAAGCCAGTGTACATAAGTTACAATTCTGTATATTTTCTTTTGTTCTTCATAAAAAATACTTTGACAATAAAATGAAAATGGAAATTTTAAATCCCTTTTTGAAATGATTATTCATCCATTTCCTTTGTCACCAGCTCCGTAATCAAGATGTTAGTGCTGGAAATTTTGATTCACCTGGATGTAGCCTTTCAGGTGCTGGTAACAGAGAGGTGGCGGAGCACACCTCGAGTTGCCTTCAGTTTTTCTCATCCCGAAGTTCCTGGGAGGCACGAGCTGTCTCGCCGGAGCCCTCACACCTCGCCTGGCAGCGCTGGGACCCAAATGCCGTCTATGGTTTCTGCTGGCTGTGGAGCAGGTCTGCAGCTGCAGCCAGACTGCGGTTAATAAATTAGAGCAAGCAGGTTTTGAGGTTTTGAGGAAATTCAAGCTCTAGTGGCTAGCGTCAAGGAGGAGGTCTTCAGTCTGTTTGAGGCTGGGATGGTGACTCACTGTGTGACCCAGGGCAAAGGGCTCTATTGCCATGTGCCTCAGTTCCCTTTCTTGTAAAATGGTGACATTGAAGGCATCACGGTGACACTGTGAGACTTGATTTATGAATAATCCTTAGATGGAAGGAGCATGCAGTAAGACCAGCAGTCACAGGATTGGATTGTGAAAGAGCAGCTCGGCACAGCAAAGGTGCCAGGGTGCTTTGGTTGGCTTTGCTGCGAATCCTACGTCTGGAAGAGTGGTGTTGGGACCTGCAGTATGGAGCATGCCTCAGACTGAGGAGAAGATGCCCTGTCCTGCAACAACCATTGCTTCCTGTGCAGAACAACACGGGCACAACATTGAGATTCTTGTGGTTTGCAAGCTGGGACATCTTTGTACTGTGTTCAGTCTTCACTTGAAGAAGAAATCAGTAAAGTTATCTGAGTATCCATGGGAGCAATAGTGCAGCAGGTCCAGATCTCCCAGCAAGGCTTACTCTTAGACTGACGGGCATTTGAGGATGAAAGTGTCTCCCTGAAGTACAGCCTCCAAGACGCCAGCTGATCTGCCAGGGATCTCCAGATCTTGATTATTTCTCCTGGAGCACCCCTAGGAGCCCAGCAAGAGAACTGAGGGATGTGGCAAAGCAAGCTCTGGTCACTCTATTGTGTTTTTACCTCCTGAGATGTAGCCTGAAGACGAGACTTCTAAGGAGAGCTGTTTTAAGTGTTCTAACTGCTTACTTGCTTTAATTAGCAAACCTGTGCCAAGAGGATCACCAATTCCCTTCTGTTCTCACCCTACCAACAGAATGCATTAAAACAGTTGCTTTCTTTTAACCAGTCTCCTCCCCATCTCCTCTGGAGTTCTGATATTGCTGTAATGTTGGGCAACTCACCCTGCAAGGCCTTTGGGGCAGAAGTTGTTCTTTGCAAGAGGCAATGCTTAGAGCATAAGTGGAGTAGCGCAAAATGCCCACTGCTGGAGCACAGCAGTGTAGAAATCTTAAGATCTAAGCTATGTTTTAGCCTGGAATACTGTCCATGAAACACTTCCTTTTTCTTTCTTTCTTCTTTTTTTTTTTCCCTCTTCTGTTCTAAGTACAATTTCTGAGTATAGTTTGTGGTGGTTTGTTGGTTTTCTTTCCCTAGTTTTAAAGGCTTACCTGTAGGAAAATTTAAGCAAAAGTTTCAACATTTTGCTTAGAAGAGAAGGGTGTTTTTTCTGTGAGAGTTAGTTCTGCATGAAAGTTAATGATGTTTTCTGAGGTTTGTCACAAAAAAAAATACTAAAATTTCAAAAAAGACGAAGTTTACTTGGAGTTACTGGCCTGCCTGGGCCTAGCTGTGGGTTTTGCTGACTCATGAAAAAAATGGCATTGCTTTAAGCTTGATTACTGCCTACACACCTGAAGATAAATAAATATTTAGAGTGCATTGGTGCCACAATTATAGAAAGGTTTGTTATGTCTTTGCTTTTGCAACTCCGAATGGTAAAGCACAGCATGGCACCATTATGCATATGGCTAAGTCTCACTGACTTAAGGCATCTGTAACTGGAGGCATGAATGGGCACGTGCAGAGTTATAGCTTTTATGCAGTGACTGAAGGGCAGCTCCTAACACTTGTGGGTGCTCTGTGTAATTCTGAATGCTTTTACTGGCAATTTTTGGCTGTTTATAGACTCAGAGCCAGCAGTGGAGGAACAGTGTTATGAGCCGCCATCGTCTGAGGTCACACTGAAGGTAAGAAGTGTAAGGAATGAGAGTAAAGTGACCTTTCTGTAAGGTGACCTGATTTCTTTGGCCTTTGGCTAAACGGAGGGCAGTGAAGTGATATGTCTGAGACCATGAAGCAAAGCAGAGGGAAATGGGAACAGAACCAAGACATCCCAAATCTCCTTTGCCCCAGACAGTGGCATAGACCAAATATCAGTAGCACACAGCAGGTTACAGAAGGCTAAGAGTGATAGGACACATAAGTGAGACATCAGACAAGCAAAGAAAGGTAAAGACGGGGCATGAGATAAAATCAGGCTGCATTGATAATGTCCACTTTTAGAAAAGGTGCCAAGGAGAGGGAAATAGCAAGAGGGAGAGCTTGCTTGCCAGTGTGCTGCGCTTGGGACTGACCCAGGCAAATCTGCCTAAAAAGTGTCCCTCTCCTCTGGTAACATTAAATGTTTGCAACAGCCCCTGCTCCATAACCTCCCGTGGGGTTGTTTTTACCTAAATCCTCTTACTGGGAGCCTTCTCGTTGTCTAAATGGCTCCTGTACGTTTGATCCAAACAGCCAGGTGACTCAAGCATAAAGTCAATGGCAATGAGCCAGTGTTAATTATTACCCTGGGCCCCTAGGATTATGTAAGCCTGGGTATGCTGTACCATGGGCACTTGGCTTGGACCTGCACTCCCCATCTGGGAGAAATACCAAGGATCTGCCAGTGTGTAGAGAAAGTTGTTTGGAGACAGCTGGGATCTTCCTTCTCCCCTTCTGACAGCACCTATGGAACCCATTATTCATTCAGTTCAGCAATTGCCATGCTGTGCTTTCTTGTCATTCAGAGACATTGCTTTTAAAGAATGAGCTATGCTCAGCTCCCACTGATTTCAATGCAAACCAAGGGCAGTGACTGCCATGGCTTACTCAAGGAAGAATTTCCAGCTACGGCAGAGTCTGCAATCCCAGCAGTTCCTTGGCTTCCCTTGCTTGTTCCTTCTGGGACATCAGTGCTTTTGTGGCTCTCAGTCCCTTATCCCATAGGTCTTAGTTTTATTCCAGCTTGCTCTGCTGTGCAATGTGTGAAAAATAGAAATAGAATCAAAATTGTTTGAGTTGGAAGGGACGTTAAAGGCCATCTGCTCCAACCCCCCTGCAATGAACAGGGGCAGCCACAGCTCCATCAGGAGCTCAGAGCCTGTCCAGCCTGACCTTGGCTGCCTGCAGGGACGGGGCACCACCACCTCTCTGGGCAGCCTGTGCCAGTGCCTCACTGTCCTTAAAAAAAAAACAAACAAACTTCTTCCTTATATTCAGTCTAAATCACCAGATTTCTAAATCTCTAGATCTAAATCCAATCCAATCTAAATAGATGCTGTGAAGAATATTCTGGCTTACACTGCGTGTGTTTTCATGCAGCTACAGAGATGGTACTTCGTGGCTTTTCTGGTCTGATATTCCTATACTGCTGGGTTTGTAGCTACCCAGTTGCACAGCATTTCACAGGGCTGAGCTTTGATCTCTCTGCCAACTCTGCAGGTCTTCCTCCAGCCACAGCTGGAGCACCTTTCCAGCTCTCACCACATTCCCTACCCAAGCACCACTTTTTCAATGGTTTGGGGTCAGGCTGACTCAAAGCGTTGATAGTGCTCGGTCTCCTGCATAGCTAAGGCTGGATGAAACCCTTCGCCCTTGGAGACTCTGCTGCAGAGAGCTTTCATCAGCTCGCCTGTCCTGCACTATGGAGTGTGCATGCCTTAGCCAGTGTCTCGCTGAGCCCCAGCTTGCTATCCAAGCATCCTGCAGCGCAGAACAACATCCAGCAGGGCTCTGGCCAGCAGGGGCAGAGGGCAGCGTTCACATCTCTGTGAGCCAAATTGTTAGGTAAAATAGGAGTGAAACACAGGAGAGACAAGGAACTGCTGGGGAAGCCAGCTCTCACCCTGCTTGCACCACTGCATGTCGTGTGACTCTTCTTGTGCTCATGAGCTGACAGACAGAGAAAATCAAGGGGAAAGTGGCCTATAGTTTCCTGGAAAGGAGTGGAGGGAGGAATGGAAACAGAAACTAAAGCACATTATAGGGTTGCAACAGACATATGGAGAAATAGGGCTGGGATAACTCATTGCTGGTCCTCTGCATCCTTCCTGCTACAACGTCACTTTTCCTGACTCTGTAGCTGATTACTGGAGAGGCCTTGAGTGAGCCCTAGCACTTCCTGAGGCAGAAAAGTTATTTATCCATATGACGCGAGTACTGGGAAACTCGCTAATTAGGAGGCACTCTCAGATCCTTAGTAGAAATATCCATCCAGAAATTGTTTTGTGTGTGAGTGAGGGTGGAGTCCAGCAACCCACACTGAAAAAAAGGTACAAAGAATCACTGTTCTGTATCTAAAAAAGCCTCTGGCACCTGCATCTCCAATTGACTCCAGCGGGCACCAACTTGAGCTCTGCTCCTTATTCCAGTGTTACGGTTTCAAATGCAGAGATGGGGCTGCTGGGCTGAAAGGAGGCCAGGCATTCAGCACGCTCGCCTTCCATAAGCGAAGGAGTGACGTGCATGTTCAAGTTTGGCTGTTGACTGCTGACTTTTTCTGAGAAGCCTATAAACAGCAGCCAGGTAGTCTCTCACTTTTTGTTTCTCTGCTGTGTTGTTTTTCCATGGACAGCACGTCCTGGACCTTAGAGAGCTGGCTGGGGCTTGCTTCATTCAGACCAACTGTCCCTGGTGGCAGATAATGCATTGGGGAGGGCAAAGGGCTTGGAAATTTTGTTATGTCAGAGCGGCTGGAAAAACACCCGGACTGTAATGTGTTGAGGGCAGCAGCGTGTCCGCACGTGGACTTGGAGAGAAGAGCCGGGGTATGAGCGTGACACCATGGGGCTGAGAGGGGATGTGA